TACTAAAAATAACAAAGAAATCATCGACATAGGTACAGAGCAATTATCAGAATCGATCCTTCATGAACATGAAAGAAAATACAATTCTCCAGTTGTGATTGTTTGAGACCAAAATCAAGCAAAACTATTTTAATTTTTATGTTCCAACCCCTTGACGCCTGTTTTAAGCCGTACAGCGTTTTTAACTATTTACAAACTTTTCCTTTTTCAACCTCAAAACCTGACGGTTGTTGCATGTATATTTTCTCTTCAAGTTCTCCATGCAAAAACGCCGTATCTACATCGATATGGTGTATTTTTAATCCCTTTAGCATTGCAATCGCAAACAAGTAACGCAAAGTCCCAATTCTTATCACTGGTGAGTAAGTTTCAAAAAAGTCAATATTTTTTCGTTGACTGTATCCACAGGCAACCAGTCTCGCTTTGTATCTTTCTGGTCTACCGTCTGGTCCCCTTTTTATTTTAAATACCCATTTACATTTTATGGCTGTTGCGCTCTCGGGTAATTCAGTCAATTCCCAGGTTTTATTATCTAACAGGGATTGGTACTCAGCTTGCATGGCAGCCCGCCATTCATTTGATTGTAGAGCCTCCGCAACACTGCTTGGCTCCTCTGGGTCGAGTATCTCGTTGGCAAGGACCACGGTCTCAGGTTCCGGATATCGCACGGGTGCGCGTCGCTCACGCACGGGATGCTCCCTTTGCTCCAAATTTTAGTCACCAGAGTTAAAGTCTGACCTTGGTGGATTCCAGTCCGAGTCACCGCTGTCACTATCTACGTCAGATGACTCCCACGAATCTGCATTCGAATCGTTCAGCTGATTGTCCGCGCCCCCTTGCGCTTCTTCCTGGTCGTTGACACTACTGTCCTCGATTATTACTTCACCACTCGCGTCATCGGGTTCGCGTTTCAAAATTCCGCCCGCCTCGATTCTTTCGACTATGCGAACGTTACGCGCACGTATTATTTTCTGCTCGACCGAGTCGTACAACCGATATCCATTCGGTGCGTATCCCACAAACACTAGCTTTTGGCCACGATCGTCAAGTTTCTTCAAGTAGCCGGTATTCTTCGCGTACGCGTCACTCCCGAAAATTCTTATGTTCGCCAAGTTTGGCTTTTTATTCCACCATTTTTCGAATGGCGTCTCGTTCATTCCCCTTTTCGGTGAACGGTTCATCAAGTATGTAGCCGCTAAAACCGCTTCACCCCAGAGTTCTTTTCCAACACCACTGTCTTAAATCATCGCACGCGCTTTTGTCATAATTGTTAAATTTTTACGTTCCGACGTTCCGTTAAGTTCCGGGCAATACGGAATAGAGTAGTCCAGCTCCAATCCTCGGTCTTTGCACCACTTTTTGAATGCGCCGCTCGTGAATTCTCCTCCGTTATCCAAGCGTAGTTTTATGCTCTTGGTCTTCTGCTGCACCTCCAGTCTTATTATCATATTCTGTAACTCTTCACTTGCTTCACTTTTGTTCCCGAGTAATTCCGTTACAGTGAACCCCGAAAAATCGTCCGTTATTGTTATAAAATACGATTTTCCGTCGAAAGTTTTCGGCTCGATGGGTCCGCACAGGTCGCTGTGCAATATCTGGAGTTTTCGGTTGCTTTCATTCTCGCACTGTTATAGAGCAATTTCGACAAATTCGATTTTAAACAGACATCGCAGTCTTTGCACTCTCGCACAATATCGCCTTTTTGATTTAATTCAACTCCGTCCGCGATTTTTTCAAGCACTTTAAGATTGGCGCCGCCAAGATGACCCATTCGCCTGTGCCAGTCAGGTTTTAAATTTATCACTGACAGCGCTCCTTCCTTAGATTTTTTAATGGTCAAATTTACCGTGAACAATCCACCTTCAATACGATATCCACGTAGAACTATCTTTCCTGCCATTTTAATTTTTACTTCGTTTTCTTCGAAAAACTCTTGCTCGCCGGATTTCACTGCCGCGTTTACCGAAAATAAGTTCGCGCACACTTCCGGTGAGTAGAGTACATTACGGAGGTTACACTCTTCAGCCACGATTGTTCCTTTTTTCACAATTTTTAAGTTGTGCCCCGCTTTTGCACTGGACACCGTTTGGTCCCACGGCTCCGCCGAAGATAACCATTCTACCATGTTGGTCATGTGACTTGTACAGCCTGAGTCCACGATCCACACGTTATCTTCCTGTTCTTCTCGGAGGGCAAGAAACGACACGGCATTGTCTTCATTATCATTCTTCTTGACACTGTTATTTTTATTTCTAAAGAAGCATGCAGCTTCATCGTGATTATCCTTCTTACAAATGGAGCACCGCTTTCTGGCATTGGAAGTTTCACCGCGAGATGATTTTTCACCTGTTTTATCAGATTTTCCAGGCATTTTGACTCGACATTGACGTTTCAGATGCCCCACTTAATTACACCGATAGCACTTTCTTTTTTCGCTTCCAAAGAAAGCCACAGCTTCCTCCTTCTCGGTTTTTGTTTTATTTTGCTCCAGAACAATGCGATTTTTAAGAGTGTCTAATGTCTTGTTGGTTTCCGGCAAAAAATCAAATCCAGTCACGAAGGTCCTCCAGGAGTCCGGCAGTGACTGTAGTATTTTATTTATCAGCAGTTCATTCTTGAGGGTATGATCCAGCGCTCTCAACTGCGCAAAGAGATTCTCCAATTTGGCCACGTAGCTCATAACATCTCCTTTAGTGTACGTAGCTGCATAAAATTCACGGAATAACGCACTTTTTTCTTGATTGGTGTTATACCCGTACACACTTTTTAGAGTTGCCCACATCTCCGCAGACGTTTCACAGGTTAAAATATTTGTCAGCAATGGTTTTTCGATTGTGGTCACTATCACTTTCTTAGCTGAAGCATCATTTTTAAGCCACTTTTGAAGTTTTTCAGCATCCGTTAGTGGTCTGGTTTCCGTTCCACTAACAATCCCGAACAGCCCACTTGCTTCCAAAAATATTTGCACTTCAAACTTCCATAGTTGATAGTTCGCACTTCCTTTAAGTTTAGAGATGTTGATATATCCCGCTTTTATCACAGATTCCGACTCCATTTTAAATTTTATTTTTTATTTTATGTTATTTTATTTTTAAATTTTTATTTCTTATTGTCCGCGATCACACCGCATTCCACACCGCGCGATTTTATTTTATTTTTAAATTTTTATTTCTTACTGTACGCGTTTACACCACATTCCGCATCACGCGATTTTATTTTATTTTTTAAATTTTTTATTTCTTACTGTCCGCGTTTACACCACATTAACGCGATACGAACATTTCGATACACTTTCACTTTTGGGTCAGCTGAGCCCATAACCTGTCGTTTTTGACGAAAATAATGTCAAGCAAAATTGCGTGAGAATGAATTAGATTTTATCGCGGAAAAACCGACATGGTGCTCTTTCGCAAGAGACTAACGGTCTAAAACTAACATGGCCGGACGTGAGTCTGAATCCACTCGTCGAGAAGGTGAAGCTCCCGGTTTTGTGTCTCCAGCTGAAAAATACCTTCCCTCACTGATAAAAGGGTTTTATTTCATACTTCTTTCTTTATTCCTCTTATTTAGTTCAACGTTGTTTTATCTCACTCGTGTAGGTATTTTTCAGCCAGAGCACAATCCCAGGGAGTTTCACCTTCTGTTCACATGGTTGCAAATTATCAATTATCCATTTTGTTATTTTTACTCTTAACAACAAAAACAACTGTCAATCGACGTCGTTCTCGGAAATTAAAAAGATATCGACATGCGGTCTGTAAAAGCTCTAGATTAACCCATTAGCTTTAAAACAAGATCAAGTTCAGTTCATTTGGCTGAGAATCAACGATCTTACAGCGATTTTACGAGAGCGTGTTGATTTTACCCTACTAGGATTTTTGGTCCTGTATGTGCGCGCGTTGACGGCAACCCCACGTGACTCAAAACACTATGGTCGATGCTCAATACTGTTGTGAAGTCTCTAAAATATTACGAGAACACATCGCGCAAAAATGACCGGACGTGAAATACGCTTGCTCCCTGACGATAACGCGCGGCCCCACACGGCAAAGTTGACATTGATATAGCGGTTAACCGAGCAGAAGGGTGTTGTGGCCCTCTCCCACCCCTACCCTTCTATTCATCGGACCTGGCCCCATGGTACTTATGGCTTTTTCCAACTCTAAAGGAGACATTAAGAGGTAAGAAATTTGTATCCATAGAGGGAATCATAATTGCTGTACACAAAGTCTTCCTGGCACTGCCAAAGGAACAATGTCTGAAGACTCTCCTTCGCAAATGCCACGAGAGGATTCAATGTTGCTTAGAAAATAAGGGATAGTACTGTGAAAAAAGACAGCAAAGTTGATCCATCAGAAGAAGAACCACATGAGGAATTAGGAAAATGTTTTTAGTAACGTATTCATTGTGGGCTAGGTGAAATAAAATTTAGTCGCAGAATTTGGAACAGTAAAAATCTCTGTAAAATCCTGTAGGTGTGAAATCAACAAGCTCTCGTAAAGTCGTCAATTATCAACCAAATGAGCTCAACTTGGTCTCCTTTTACTTAATGCTAATGAGTTGATCTAGAGCTTCCTACAAACCGCATGTCGATATCTTTTTCAATTCCCGAGAGCGAGGTCGACTGACAGTTGTTTTGGGACAGTCAAGACCTTGCATTGAATATCAGAAGTTTATGAGCAATTGATCTTGCGGCGCTTTCTTTCAGGCTATCAGACACCTAACAAGACAATCACCGTTTCATTTCGTACGAAAAACAATATGGGAAATATAAACAAAACATTTTTCTTGAATTAAGCCGGCAAAAACATGCCCACCGCTTGCTTCCCGAGATCTGTGGTTTCTATTGGTGTGTAATACCCTCCGCTTTCTCCCAAAAAACACCAAAAATTGAAATCGTTTGCATTGTCTCTGATTTTTGCCTTTCACTGGAGGTGTAGACTCAGAAAAGAAAGTATATTAGCATGTTTCTCATGTAATTTCTTCTCATTATTTTTTAGGATGAACCTAAAAAATTGTATACTCCTGAGATCTCTGTAGACTGTGCCAATGGAGTTGGAGCTTTGGTGCTGAAGAAAATGATCCATTTTTTACAGGAGCTACAATCCAGTTCGTCTCCTAACAAGAAGAGTCTCAAAATTAACCTTTTCAATGACTTGGTATTTGTCAAGGATGTCCTCAACAACGAAGTTAGTAGCCTTTTAAATTTATTTATCAACGATACACAGCACTGGGTGGTACAGCACTGTTGGAAACTACTTTATTTGGCAGTACCGCACGAATTGTGCAGGCGATGTAACCATTTTCATGTTTTGAACTTTCGAAATCATAGACCTTAATAACTGATGCGGCAGGAACGTTCCTTGACGTTTAGGTCATTAGCAATTAAGCAGAAAGAACCAAAGCCTGACCTCGAGGAACCACATGAAGGCCATGTTACGTGAAAAAAAGCTATTAGCGCAAAAACAAGTGTACCTTAAAAGCGTTGAAAATTTTTGCTTAATTCTCTTGTCAGTTTTTTCTGTGTTGTCACTTGTATCTCATACTAGCTGTTCAGGGTGTGCTTTGCGCACCCTCACAGGCATCATCGAATCGATTAGCCACTTTATTAGTTTTTCTTAAATGATTTTTTTATCATTTTCTTTCAATTGATTTATTTTTTTGTTGTTGTTTTCATCTGCCTTTGATGTATGAAAAACAATTATTTGCTGACTAAAAAAGAAAAAAGATGCCTTGACAAAAAGAAAGTATACTATTCTAAATATATAGGCTTCTACAAGAGCAGTACGTCATAAGTGTCCATCCATAAACTATGTAAGGCATTTTTCCCATTTCTAGACCCGTAAGGAACCAAGAAGTATCCCTCATCCCCTCCCTCTCTACAATCCACGTAAGGTTTCACCGACCCCCTCCCCTTTTCAAACATCGCAAATCTAAGCATTACGTTTGCTTTTAGAAGAACAATGACATTTTTAGTCCAATATTTCTACAAGTGAAACTAGATTTTCTAAGTAAGTTAATAGGTAATATTAATGATGCACTTAATTTTATAAACAAAAATACATGGAGCAAAATGGAAGATGTTTTTGTCTTCGGAATAGTTAAAAGTATGAAGTTGACACTAGGATGAAGTCACTACTCATCATCCGACGGAGTGGAGAAGAGGGAAGTAACTACCCATCATCCGACGGAGTAGAGAAGAGGGAATCAAGAGAAATGATAGGAGCATGATCCATTCGGTCAGCAGTCGGTGATGTGCTGATGTCCTGTATCTCATCTTGAATTATACTGTCAACCTGATGAGAAATGAATTTTTGCATTTTCTTTAAATGTAGGCTAGAAAGCTCACGCACGGCTCACTGTCAGCCCTATCCCCCTTCCCTTCATAAGTCTGTTAGAGACCCCCCCCCCTTCTTTGAGCCTTGCGTAATTTATGGACGGTGGCCCCAAATAATGTTTTTTGTTGTAACATGTGCGCCATGTAGTCGCTCCGTTTTGGTGAGCAAACAAACATTTCCTCAGCGAGTAGTAGAATAGAAATGCCGACTTGAGGCCAAAAGTTTTTAGCCAAATTGTGCGCTTGGAGAAGTGTATCGGACCTTGTGTTTTGGGATAAGCAACGGGGATTGGATATTGCAATGTTCAGTTTGATGAATCAATTTTTTTTTTGGTGGATATTTACTGTTACAGTTTAAAGAACGTTCGCGTTTCAAGAACTTCCGCGTTCTGAAAACGTTCGCGTTCCGAAAACGTACGCGTTTAAAAAACATCCGCGTTTCGAAATCGTCCGCGTTTAAAAAACGTAAAAGGATTTTAGGATTTGTGGACCAAGAGATATTCGGTGTTGAACTTTGGAAATCGTTCAAAAATTATCGAATTTTTGCGGTCCCAAATTCTCAACCCCACCCAATCGCAAGCAAATTAGGGAGCGCTAAAATTTAAGTGTCTGATAACTGTTAGGACTACGAACTCAGACCGAATTTTAGAGTCTAGCCCGTTTTGTCTAGTCCGATCGTGTCCGGAGATCGGATCTCCATGTCTCCACCTTCGAGTTGGCAACCTGAAACAGGCAGCAACCTGTTCGTCCCGGATTTTTCCATGACATCACTGAAACTGGTTCGGGCATACAAAACAGGTACTAACCCCTGTACCCCCCCCCCCGCAACCTGTTTGTCCCGGATTTTTCCATGACATCACAGAAACAGGTTCGGGCATACAAAACAGGTACTAACCCCTGTACCCCCCTCCCCGGTACCTGTACTATACCTGGCTATAAAAAACAGCGCGCACCGGCTCAACCGTCAGTGCCTTCCTTCCTGTGCTCGTGTGTACAACTCAGTGATCTGCGATTTGTTGACAAAGTGCCTTTGGAAATTCCCAAGTGTTTCATCGTGTGTGTACCTTGTCGCTTACGGATTGTGAATCGTTCTCTATTATTATTTCGGATCTTTCTGCTCGTTTTCTGCTAGTGTTGTGCAGTTTTATGCAGGATACAAACCTAGTGTGATTTCTTCCTTTACGGTGAGTTTTTTTTTTAAAAAAAATTCCTGTTTACAAATCTTATAATTTTTTTTTCTTTCGTCGATTTTCGATTTAAATAAAGGAAGGGTTGCGGATCCCTCCACGGAATTGAGAAATTTTTGGATATACGGCAGCTGACGGTGCATATTTAACAGAATTAATCGAGTTTTGCCGATACTCACGTTTTTTGGCTGCGAATAAGGGGCCTAGACATGGCTCCGGAGCCGAAAATAGCTGAAATTTCGCGTTTTTCGCGGTTCCACTTCAGATTTCGACCTGGGCCCAAAGGCGAAGGGTGATGAGCTTCGAATATGGTGTTAAGGACACCTAGACACGTAACACACTTGAATATGATTAACCTCTGCCTTTGGGCCCAAGTTCAAAATCTAACTTTTCCAACTTTTTAGCCCGAAATAGCTGAAAATCCATGTTATTCGCAGTTCTACCTCAGATTTCGACCCGGGCCTAAAGGCGACGTTTGATCATATTCAAGTATGTTACGTGTCAAGGTGTTTTCGACACCATATTCGAAGCTCATCACCCGTCGCCTTTGGGCCCAGGTCGAAATCTGAGGTAGAACCGCGAATAACATGGATTTTCAGCTATTTCGGGCTAAAAAGTTGGAAAAGTTAGATTTTGAACTTGGGCCCAAAGGCGACGGTTGATCATATTCAAGTATGTTACGTGTCTAGGTGTCCTTGACACCATATTCGAAGCCCATCACCTGTCGCCTTTGGGCCCAGGTTGAAATCTGAGGTAGAACCGGGAAAAACGCGGAATTTCAGCTATTTTCGGCTCCGGAGCCATGTCTAGGCCCCTGCTTCGCAGCCAAAAAACGTGAGTGTCGACAAAACTCGATTATTTCTGTTAAATATGCCCCGTCAACTGCCGTATATTCAAAAATTTCTCAATTTCGTGGAGGGGCCGATTTCAGCCCAAATTGCAACCCCTCCTTTAAAGCTTAATTTTTCAAATTTTCACTTCCGAAAAAATTTTCATCTTATAAATTTATCACAATTTTTTTTTTTTTTTTTTATTTATATGTGAGTTTTAAAAAATGATACGAGATAGAAGGAAACTAAAGCTACGTACATAATCAATTAAGCTATCACTTTGCCGATAAACAATATTCCGTTATATTCATGCAACATCGTAATTAATCCATGTTGGGTGCGAAATTTTAGGACGCTTGTCGCATTGACGACTTTTCCTTGGATTTTGCGGGGACCCGACGAGGCGAATCCATCCATCCAATCCCTGTGGAATTTCTCTTGGAAAATCAACCTTTGGAATAAGTAATGAAAGAATCACATTTTTATTTAGTAAAATACAATGTTAATCAATGTAAAAACATAATAAAAAAATACACTTTATTTACAAAAATATAGAAATATAAAAAATAATTTTAAAAAAAAACAATTTCTCTTAAATTCGAAGCTATCGACCGCTCTAAACTATCGCATCGACTCATCGTTCTCATCAGATGAGAAGTTTTTATACCGTCATTGGCGGGCTGACATGACCATCGACATCAATTTCAATTATCTCATCATCGTCCATCGAATCATCTGTAGAAATGTGAACGATCGGCACCGGTGGGAGTCGTAATTAGAGCCCGATAGCGTTTCTCAACGCTCCAAATGAAGTGTCGTGTAAACGATATAATAAACGGTAAAAAAGGTTGTGATACAACCTCGTATTCACCCTTTTTTCAAGTCTGCAAATACAGGGAAAAGAACAATCTTTAATCGAGATCTTTCGAAATTACAGGGGTTGCAGTTATGTCAAACGATGATAACCACGATGGACAAAGGCACCGCAACGTTTGTGGAGCGTGGTATCATCTCGGAGATAAGCACGAAAGGACCCTCTCACACATACGGACCCTTACTGCTCTCGAAGAACCTGTCACTCTCGTGGAATCTGCGTTTCGGAGTCGTTACCTGACCTTCTTTTTGAGGAAGCTCAACGCGAATCAGTTGGACTACAAGCGATACATGAAGAATGACACGACACCCGTCATACATCATAAGATCCGGGACTCCCTAATCGGGCTGACGTCAGTGAAAGTGAACATTGTCGTCTACTCGTTGTGCAAGAAACCCGAAGACGATCCCGAGAATAAGAAGAAGGAGGAGAAGAAATATGTATCCTTTAAAACAACTAATTATACTTATTTCAAGGAAAGCTATATCTAAGCCATAACTTCTGAAATGGTAGAGAACATCACTCAGGAAGCTATTGAATGCACCGTGAACGAATCAGGGTACACTCTCGAAAAGATAATCGGTACGGAACTGAGATTCAACTTTAACAGCTCACTCTCCAAAGGATCCAGTTACCTTCCATTGCTTATCACCACGAATGCAGTGGTAAATGTGCAGAACGAGGATCACATGTGCTTCAAGTACGCAATCCTGGGGAAACATCTACCTCCGAATACGATGCATAAGTATTGAGTCGCCAAATACGCTCCCTACTTGCAACGCTGCGATTTTTCCTGTGTTCCCTTCCCGACAGCCGTGCAAGATGTCTCAAAATTTGAAAAGACGAACAACGTCTCGATTTCAGTGTTCGGAATCGACGATTGCGATGACAGCGAGGATGAGGATGAAGAGGAAACTAAACGCGATGAGTACGATGATATCGGTCTCGGTCCTGATGACTA